CCTCAGCACCAGCAGCAGCTCCAACGCCCGGGTCCTCAGCACCAGCAGCAGCGCCACCGCTCGGATCCTCAGCACCCGCGGCAGCTCCAACGCCCGGGTCCTCAACAGCAGCAGTAGCGCCACCGCGCAGGTCCTCAGTACCAGTAGCAGCGCCACCCCCAGGGTCTGCAGCACCAGGAGCACCACTCCGAAGACTGCAGCGCCGCGCGTACCACTCTCGGATCTGCTGAATGGGGGGGAGCTCCTGGGTAGGAGGGGAAGTACTGGTACGAGCTCCAGCAGCACCTCTCCGGAGGCGGCAGTACTGTAGGTACCTCTCCTGCAGCTGCTGGGAGGAGAGGGCTCCTCCAGGTGTAGCATGCTCAAGCTCAGCACCTCCAGACGCAGCACCCCCAGGCTCAGCACCTCCAGACTCCGCACCCCCAGACTCCGCACCCCCAGGCTCAGCACCCCCAGACTCAGCACCCCCAGGCTCCGCACCCCCAGACTCCGCACCCCCAGGCTCCGCACCCCCAGGCTCAGCACCTCCAGACTCCGCACCCCCAGGCTCCGCACCCCCAGGCTCAGCACCCCCAGACTCAGTACCCCCAGGCTCCTCACGGTCAGGCTCAGCACCCCCAGCAGGACGAGAGTCAACAGCTACCTCGACAGGCTCACCCGGGTCTACCTGGGACACACCTGAGGGAGCGGCACCCTGAGGGGGGAGGGGGTCTGGTACCTCAGCACCTGGAGCCAGGAAGAGAGGCGGGGGGGGGGAGTGGAGCAGTGCGGTAGGGGAAGAGGCGGTAGTAGGGGACGGACTCGTCAAAAGTGACGTCCTGAGAGGCCAGGACACGACGCGAGGTGGCGTGGTAGAACTGCCAACCAGGCGCGTCCGGGACAAAGCCAAGGAAGACACAGGGGACAGCTCGACGGGAGAGCTTGTCCGCGGACGTATCGCGAACAAAAGCTCGAGATCCCCAGACCCGAAAACACGACGCATCGCCAGCCTCTCCCGTCCAACGCAGTGTCGGAGAAGTCTCCGGTAAGGAGACACGGGGCCAGAGGTTGAGCTGATGCGCAGCGTATCGGACTGCAAACGGCCACAGAAAGTGGGGGGCAGCCGCATGAACCAAGGAGGTACGAGCGACCTCCATGACCAAGCCAATGCGGCGCTCAGCAACCCCATTCTGCTGTGGAGAGGCCGGAAGCGTGAACGACTGCTCAATGCCCTCCTGCTGACAGAAGGCCTCCAAGAGGCCAGAGGAAAACTCCCCACCTCTGTCAGAGTGCAGACGCAGGACAGGGAAGTCGGAGCGGAAACGCTCACTGAGCTGGAGACGAGATCTGCGGATCCAAGGGATCAAGACATCAGGGACGTCACCCTTGGTGCGCAAGGGGAAGACCGTGGTGTAGCGCGAGAAGTCGTCAACAACAATCAGGAAGTACCGCTCCTGACCCTGACCACGGACGCGGGCTGGGCCCCACACGTCCATGTGGAGCGTCTGCAAAGGAGCAGTCGTCGGGGGGAAGGAGGAGGAGTGAGGAGCGGCGCGCTGCCGCCCCTCGACACAGGGAAGACAGGGAGGAGCAGGCGAGGGTGGGAGGGGAGGGAGAACCCTGGGAAGACCAGCAACAAGGTCCCGTTTGTGCATGGCCCGAAGGCGCTGCACAGACGGGTGACCAAGGCGGTGGTGCCAGAGGACAGTCTCATGCGCCAGAGAGCGACACGAGCAGGGGGCGGACAGCTGACCTGACGCAGACGCAGACGCGGACGCAGCTACCTGGGGGGACTCAGTGGTCAGTGTGTACAGGTCCGACCCCGGCTGCCGAGTGAAGGTAGCCAGGTGACGGCCCGTCCGAGCACACGTGCAGTGTGTCACGCGCTCGTAAGCAGGGGTGAACTGGTGAACACCCCCGTCCTGGAGCGCACTACCTGCCACCAAGTTCGTAGAGAACGAGGGGAGGTAGAGACCTGACAGTGTGCCTGACGGGACCGCAGGACAAGGAAGGACAGTGGAGGAGGTCGCAACGACCGGACCCCCAGAGGGGTCAGCGAGGGAGACAGCAACTGGCCGAGCGAGTGGCTCAAGGACAGTGCGGTCACGAAAGAAACAGCGAGAAGCACCTGAGTCCAGTGTGAAGGTGTGCAGTGCTGCAGTCGACTCAGTACCAGCGGGCACGGACTCACTAGCACCTAGAGCAGCAGCCTCACCAGGACCTGGGGCAGCAGACTCACTAGCACCTAGAGCGGCAGCCGGACTGGTCTGAATGCCCGGGTCGGGCGGAACACGCAAGTACTGAGCACCCTCTCCACTAGTAAACATTGCATACATGGCAGTGAGAATAGCATCAAAGTCTAAAGCCCAGATATCAACTCCCTTCTTCTCCAGATCAGCCCAGCGGGGCAGCTCAGTGGCATCAGGAAACTGGGCACGCCACGCGTCGGTAAGGCGCGCGAAACAGCGCTGCGTGGGGTGCTGCCTCCCACACTGCTGGCCAGTGCGGTCACCAGTGCGAATGACGTACGTGCAGGTAAAGCCACGCTGCGCATACCACTCACGGGCGGCCTGAAGCGACGGGGCGGGCTGCTGACTCTGGCCACCACCAGCGCCTCCACGACCACCACCGCCGCCGCCACCGCCTCGGCCACCTCCACCCCTGCCGCTGCCACGACCACCTCCGCCTCCGCTGCCGCCTCCACCCCTGCCGCCACTCCCGCCGCTGCTGTCACCACCCCCACTGCCGCCACTAGCCTCCCCAGCCGCTCCTCCACTCCCACCGCCTCCACCCCCACCTCCTCCGCCGCCACCTCCACCCTTGCCCCCTTGCTCTTGCGGCGCCCGCTCGAAGCAGACGCGGTCCCGACCTTCTCAGCACCAAGGAGGTCGACAGCAGCAGCAGAGGCGACAGAGGGGAGGAGAGGGGAAGGGGAACACCCCTCAAAGAACGGGGTGCGGGGGTCGCCACGAGAGGTGCCTACAGCGACGATGCTCGCCTCAGCTGCAAGCAGTTCCTTCTCGAGGAGGGCAATGGTGAGTTCAGTGGGGGAGCGAGAGAGGAAGTGGTCCCTGACTGTGCGCAGAGAGTCAGGGAGGCGGGTGACTATGTGGTAGAGAGTGATCCAGAGCGGGGGGGGGTTGCTAGTAAGGAACTCGTCAGGCATAGCAGCGCGAAAGCGGGCCTCACTAGTCTTAAGGTGGGTGATGAGGTCAGCAACTGTCTGAAAGGAGGCCAGGTCGGGGAACAGGTAGGGGAGAGTGAGGCGGCCTAGTGTGGCAGAAGCGGGTGAGGAGTAGCGAGCGACTACAGCAGTGTACAGGTCCTTAGCAGTTTTGTGCTGGCCAAAGTGCTCGCGCTCGTCGATCGGTAGGGAGTTACGAATAGCGAAGCGAGCGTGGGCGTCACGAGTCTGCCACTGTGAGCGCTGAGTGCTGTCAGCAGTGGTAGGAGGGGCAGTAGCGTTGCCTAGGGCATGATCGTACAGTGAAATGTCCTCCTTAGCAGTGAGCTGTAGAAAGAGGTGGAGGTCATCGAGCCAGGTTTCGAACTTCACTGGACGGCCCTCAGCATCGAAAGTAAGTACAGTAGGAGTAGCCATAGCGGCAGTAGCGTGTAGCAGTAGCGGTAGAAACAGTAAGAATGAGGCCGCAGGGAAGCTGTGGGCGGTGTCAACGGGGCCGGCGGGGCCACTAAAAGAAAGTGCACGGGCGGTAGCGGCAGGGTCGACAGGCCGGCAGCAGCGGCAAAGGAGGGGTAGTGCACGGGCGGCAGCAGCAGCGGCGCACGAGCGGCAGCGGCTTAGGCGCACGGGCGGCAGCGGCAGTAAACAGCACACGGGCGGCAGCAGCTGAGGTGCATGGGCGGCAGCGGCAGCGGGCGCAGTAGTGGCGGCTGCAGCGGGAGCGGTAGAAGGCGCAAGAGAGGCGCACGGGCAGTAGCGGCAGCGGTAGAAGGTTCAGGAGAGGCGCACGGGCGGTAGCGGCCGCGGCGCACGAGCGGGAGCGGCTGCGGGCGACGCGCAGGCTGTAGCTGCAGCGGCGGGACCGTGGTAGCGGCAGCAGCAGCGGGCGACGAGCGGGCGGCAGCTGCAGCGGGCGACGAGCGGGCGGCAGCAGCAGCGGGCGACGAGCGGGCGGCAGCTGCAGCGGGCGACGAGCGGGCGGCAGCAGCAGCGGGCGACGAGCGGGCGGCAGCTGCAGCGGGCGGGCGGCAATGTGCAGGCCGGCGGGGCCGCGGCGGGCTGCGCCTTAGCGGTGCGAGCGGCGCGCGGGCGGCTAGCTGGTCGCGCGCTCAAAAGAAATCAGCCGCGCGCGGGCAGCTAGCGGGTCGCGGGCGGTAAAAAAAAAAAAAGAAACGAGCCGCGCGCGAGTGGCTGGCGGGCTGCGCGCGCGCGGTAGGTAGGAGGCGCACTGAGGCGCGTAGGCGCACGAGGGCGCACGGTAGGTAGGTAGGTAGGTAGGTAGCGGTGGGCCCTAAGAACGGTCCTAGCGAAGGACCTGCTCTGAAACCATGTCACAATCAACGGACTGGAATGACTGTACTAGCACAAAGTTGGATACAAGTAGTAAACCCTAATCTAGTGTACCCCCTAAGGTGTAACCCACTACAGCCTACAATCATATAAACATATAATGTTTGACATGTGTGCGCACGGGAGCGAGCACGCAGGCGCATAGCGCGCTGGCGCATAGCACGCTAGCGCCTAACGGGCTGGCGCCAAACGCGCTGGCACCTAACGCGCTTGTGCCTAACGCGCTAGCGCCTAACGCGCTAGCGCCTAGCGCGCTGGCGCATAGCGCGCTGGCGCATAGCGCGCTGGTTCCTAGCGCGCTGGCGCCTAGCGCGCTGGCGCCTAGCGCGCTGGCGCCAAACGCGCTGGCGTCTAGCGCGCTGGCGCCTAATCCGCAGGCGCCTAGAGCGCTGGCGCCTAACGCGCTAGCGCCTAGCGCGCTGGCGTTTGCTGCGTTGGCGTCAAACGCGCTGGCGCCTTACGCGCTGGCGCCTTACGCGCTGGCGCCTTATGTTTGGCGCCTTGCAGGTGCCCTCGCAGCTCGCTGGCACGTTGTTGCGTGCTGGCGGCTTGTGCGCTGCTGCCATTTTTGCGGCGCTGGCAAATTCCTGCGGCAGCCTTGTTGCGGCAGTGCGCTGTCAAATCGTTGCGCACGCTCACGCATTGCTGCAGTGAGCTCACGCGTTGCTGCAGTGAGCTCACTTGTTGCTGCAGTGAGCTCACGCGTTGCTGCAGTGAGCTCACGCCTTGCTGCAGTGAGCTCACGCGTTGCTGCAGTGAGCTCACGCCTTGCTGCAGTGAGCTCACGCCTTGCTGCAGTGAGCTCACGCCTTGCTGCAGTGAGCTCACGCCTTGCTGCAGTGAGCTCACGCCTTGCTGCAGTGAGCTCACGCCTTGCTGCAGTGAGCTCACGCCTTGCTGCAGTGAGCTCACGCGTTGCTGCAGTGAGCTCACGCCTTGCTGCAGTGAGCTCACGCGTTGCTGCAGTGAGCTCACGCCTTGCTGCAGTGAGCTCACGCGTTGCTGCAGTGAGCTCACGCGTTGCTGCAGTGAGCTCACGCGTTGCTGCAGTGAGCTCACGCCTTGCTGCAGTGAGCTCACGCGTTGCTGCAGTGAGCTCACGCATTGCTGCAGTGAGCTCACGCCTTGCTGCAGTGAGCTCACGCCTTGCTGCAGTGAGCTCACGCGTTGCTGCAGTGAGCTCACGCGTTGCTGCAGTGAGCTCACGCCTTGCTGCAGTGAGCTCACGCGTTGCTGCAGTGAGCTCACGCCTTGCTGCAGTGAGCTCACGCCTTGCTGCAGTGAGCTCACGCCTTGCTGCAGTGAGCTCACGCATTGCTGCAGTGAGCTCACGCCTTGCTGCAGTGAGCTCACGCCTTGCTGCAGTGAGCTCACGCGTTGCTGCAGTGAGCTCACGCCTTGCTGCAGTGAGCTCACGCGTTGCTGCAGTGAGCTCACACGTTGCTGCAGTGAGCTCACGCGTTGCTGCAGTGAGCTCACGCGTTGCTGCAGTGAGCTCACGCGTTGCTGCAGTGAGCTCACGCCTTGCTGCAGTGAGCTCACGCCTTGCTGCAGTGAGCTCACGCGTTGCTGCAGTGAGCTCACGCGTTGCTGCAGTGAGCTCACGCGTTGCTGCAGTGAGCTCACGCGTTGCTGCAGTGAGCTCACGCCTTGCTGCAGTGAGCTCACGCCTTGCTGCAGTGAGCTCACGCGTTGCTGCAGTGAGCTCACGCCTTGCTGCAGTGAGCTCACGCCTTGCTGCAGTGAGCTCACGCCTTGCTGCAGTGAGCTCACGCCTTGCTGCAGTGAGCTCACGCGTTGCTGCAGTGAGCTCACGCGTTGCTGCAGTGAGCTCACGCCTTGCTGCAGTGAGCTCACGCCTTGCTGCAGTGAGCTCACGCGTTGCTGCAGTGAGCTCACGCCTTGCTGCAGTGAGCTCACGCGTTGCTGCAGTGAGCTCACGCGTTGCTGCAGTGAGCTCACGCCTTGCTGCAGTGAGCTCACGCCTTGCTGCAGTGAGCTCACGCGTTGCTGCAGTGAGCTCACGCGTTGCTGCAGTGAGCTCACGCGTTGCTGCAGTGAGCTCACGCGTTGCTGCAGTGAGCTCACGCCTTGCTGCAGTGAGCTCACGCCTTGCTGCAGTGAGCTCACGCGTTGCTGCAGTGAGCTCACGCGTTGCTGCAGTGAGCTCACGCCTTGCTGCAGTGAGCTCACGCGTTGCTGCAGTGAGCTCACGCCTTGCTGCAGTGAGCTCACGCCTTGCTGCAGTGAGCTCACGCGTTGCTGCAGTGAGCTCACGCCTTGCTGCAGTGAGCTCACGCGTTGCTGCAGTGAGCTCACGCCTTGCTGCAGTGAGCTCACGCCTTGCTGCAGTGAGCTCACGCGTTGCTGCAGTGAGCTCACGCCTTGCTGCAGTGAGCTCACGCCTTGCTGCAGTGAGCTCACGCCTTGCTGCAGTGAGCTCACGCCTTGCTGCAGTGAGCTCACGCGTTGCTGCAGTGAGCTCACGCATTGCTGCAGTGAGCTCACGCCTTGCTGCAGTGAGCTCACGCCTTGCTGCAGTGAGCTCACGCCTTGCTGCAGTGAGCTCACGCCTTGCTGCAGTGAGCTCACGCGTTGCTGCAGTGAGCTCACGCCTTGCTGCAGTGAGCTCACGCGTTGCTGCAGTGAGCTCACGCCTTGCTGCAGTGAGCTCACGCGTTGCTGCAGTGAGCTCACGCGTTGCTGCAGTGAGCTCACGCCTTGCTGCAGTGAGCTCACGCGTTGCTGCAGTGAGCTCACGCCTTGCTGCAGTGAGCTCACGCCTTGCTGCAGTGAGCTCACGCCTTGCTGCAGTGAGCTCACGCCTTGCTGCAGTGAGCTCACGCCTTGCTGCAGTGAGCTCACGCCTTGCTGCAGTGAGCTCACGCCTTGCTGCAGTGAGCTCACGCCTTGCTGCAGTGAGCTCACGCCTTGCTGCAGTGAGCTCACGCCTTGCTGCAGTGAGCTCACGCGTTGCTGCAGTGAGCTCACGCGTTGCTGCAGTGAGCTCACGCGTTGCTGCAGTGAGCTCACGCGTTGCTGCAGTGAGCTCACGCGTTGCTGCAGTGAGCTCACGCGTTGCTGCAGTGAGCTCACGCGTTGCTGCAGTGAGCTCACGCGTTGCTGCAGTGAGCTCACGCCTTGCTGCAGTGAGCTCACGCCTTGCTGCAGTGAGCTCACGCCTTGCTGCAGTGAGCTCACGCCTTGCTGCAGTGAGCTCACGCGTTGCTGCAGTGAGCTCACGCGTTGCTGCAGTGAGCTCACGCGTTGCTGCAGTGAGCTCACGCGTTGCTGCAGTGAGCTCACGCGTTGCTGCAGTGAGCTCACGCGTTGCTGCAGTGAGCTCACGCGTTGCTGCAGTGAGCTCACGCGTTGCTGCAGTGAGCTCACGCCTTGCTGCAGTGAGCTCACGCCTTGCTGCAGTGAGCTCACGCCTTGCTGCAGTGAGCTCACGCGTTGCTGCAGTGAGCTCACGCGTTGCTGCAGTGAGCTCACGCCTTGCTGCAGTGAGCTCACGCCTTGCTGCAGTGAGCTCACGCGTTGCTGCAGTGAGCTCACGCGTTGCTGCAGTGAGCTCACGCCTTGCTGCAGTGAGCTCACGCGTTGCTGCAGTGAGCTCACGCCTTGCTGCAGTGAGCTCACGCGTTGCTGCAGTGAGCTCACGCGTTGCTGCAGTGAGCTCACGCGTTGCTGCAGTGAGCTCACGCGTTGCTGCAGTGAGCTCACGCGTTGCTGCAGTGAGCTCACGCCTTGCTGCAGTGAGCTCACGCGTTGCTGCAGTGAGCTCACGCCTTGCTGCAGTGAGCTCACGCGTTGCTGCAGTGAGCTCACGCGTTGCTGCAGTGAGCTCACGCCTTGCTGCAGTGAGCTCACGCCTTGCTGCAGTGAGCTCACGCCTTGCTGCAGTGAGCTCACGCGTTGCTGCAGTGAGCTCACGCCTTGCTGCAGTGAGCTCACGCGTTGCTGCAGTGAGCTCACGCGTTGCTGCAGTGAGCTCACGCCTTGCTGCAGTGAGCTCACGCCTTGCTGCAGTGAGCTCACGCGTTGCTGCAGTGAGCTCACGCCTTGCTGCAGTGAGCTCACGCCTTGCTGCAGTGAGCTCACGCCTTGCTGCAGTGAGCTCACGCCTTGCTGCAGTGAGCTCACGCCTTGCTGCAATGAGCTCACGCGTTGCTGCAGTGAGCTCACGCGTTGCTGCAGTGAGCTCACGCGTTGCTGCAGTGAGCTCACGCGTTGCTGCAGTGAGCTCACGCCTTGCTGCAGTGAGCTCACGCGTTGCTGCAGTGAGCTCACGCCTTGCTGCAGTGAGCTCACGCGTTGCTGCAGTGAGCTCACGCCTTGCTGCAGTGAGCTCACGCCTTGCTGCAGTGAGCTCACGCCTTGCTGCAGTGAGCTCACGCCTTGCTGCAGTGAGCTCACGCGTTGCTGCAGTGAGCTCATGCGTTGCTGCAGTGAGCTCACGCCTTGCTGCAGTGAGCTCACGCCTTGCTGCAGTGAGCTCACGCCTTGCTGCAGTGAGCTCACGCGTTGCTGCAGTGAGCTCACGCATTGCTGCAGTGAGCTCACGCCTTGCTGCAGTGAGCTCACGCCTTGCTGCAGTGAGCTCACGCCTTGCTGCAGTGAGCTCACGCCTTGCTGCAGTGAGCTCACGCGTTGCTGCAGTGAGCTCACGCCTTGCTGCAGTGAGCTCACGCGTTGCTGCAGTGAGCTCACGCCTTGCTGCAGTGAGCTCACGCCTTGCTGCAGTGAGCTCACGCGTTGCTGCAGTGAGCTCACGCCTTGCTGCAGTGAGCTCACGCCTTGCTGCAGTGAGCTCACGCCTTGCTGCAGTGAGCTCACGCCTTGCTGCAGTGAGCTCACGCGTTGCTGCAGTGAGCTCACGCCTTGCTGCAGTGAGCTCACGCGTTGCTGCAGTGAGCTCACGCCTTGCTGCAGTGAGCTCACGCGTTGCTGCAGTGAGCTCACGCGTTGCTGCAGTGAGCTCACGCGTTGCTGCAGTGAGCTCACGCCTTGCTGCAGTGAGCTCACGCGTTGCTGCAGTGAGCTCACGCGTTGCTGCAGTGAGCTCACGCGTTGCTGCAGTGAGCTCACTCCTTGCTGCAGTGAGCTCACGCGTTGCTGCAGTGAGCTCACGCCTTGCTGCAGTGAGCTCACGCCTTGCTGCAGTGAGCTCACGCCTTGCTGCAGTGAGCTCATGCGTTGCTGCAGTGAGCTCACGCCTTGCTGCAGTGAGCTCACGCGTTGCTGCAGTGAGCTCACGCGTTGCTGCAGTGAGCTCACGCCTTGCTGCAGTGAGCTCACGCGTTGCTGCAGTGAGCTCACGCGTTGCTGCAGTGAGCTCACGCCTTGCTGCAGTGAGCTCACGCCTTGCTGCAGTGAGCTCACGCCTTGCTGCAGTGAGCTCACGCGTTGCTGCAGTGAGCTCACGCCTTGCTGCAGTGAGCTCACGCGTTGCTGCAGTGAGCTCACGCCTTGCTGCAGTGAGCTCACGCGTTGCTGCAGTGAGCTCACGCCTTGCTGCAGTGAGCTCACGCGTTGCTGCAGTGAGCTCACGCCTTGCTGCAGTGAGCTCACGCCTTGCTGCAGTGAGCTCACGCCTTGCTGCAGTGAGCTCACGCCTTGCTGCAGTGAGCTCACGCGTTGCTGCAGTGAGCTCACGCGTTGCTGCAGTGAGCTCACGCCTTGCTGCAGTGAGCTCACGCCTTGCTGCAGTGAGCTCACGCGTTGCTGCAGTGAGCTCACGCCTTGCTGCAGTGAGCTCACGCCTTGCTGCAGTGAGCTCACGCCTTGCTGCAGTGAGCTCACGCCTTGCTGCAGTGAGCTCACGCGTTGCTGCAGTGAGCTCACGCGTTGCTGCAGTGAGCTCACGCGTTGCTGCAGTGAGCTCACGCCTTGCTGCAGTGAGCTCACGCGTTGCTGCAGTGAGCTCACGCCTTGCTGCAGTGAGCTCACGCGTTGCTGCAGTGAGCTCACGCCTTGCTGCAGTGAGCTCACGCGTTGCTGCAGTGAGCTCACGCCTTGCTGCAGTGAGCTCACGCCTTGCTGCAGTGAGCTCACGCGTTGCTGCAGTGAGCTCACGCCTTGCTGCAGTGAGCTCACGCGTTGCTGCAGTGAGCTCACGCCTTGCTGCAGTGAGCTCACGCGTTGCTGCAGTGAGCTCACGCCTTGCTGCAGTGAGCTCACGCCTTGCTGCAGTGAGCTCACGCGTTGCTGCAGTGAGCTCACGCCTTGCTGCAGTGAGCTCACGCCTTGCTGCAGTGAGCTCACGCGTTGCTGCAGTGAGCTCACGCGTTGCTGCAGTGAGCTCACGCGTTGCTGCAGTGAGCTCACGCCTTGCTGCAGTGAGCTCACGCCTTGCTGCAGTGAGCTCACGCGTTGCTGCAGTGAGCTCACGCCTTGCTGCAGTGAGCTCACGCCTTGCTGCAGTGAGCTCACGCGTTGCTGCAGTGAGCTCACGCCTTGCTGCAGTGAGCTCACGCCTTGCTGCAGTGAGCTCACGCGTTGCTGCAGTGAGCTCACGCCTTGCTGCAGTGAGCTCACGCGTTGCTGCAGTGAGCTCACGCCTTGCTGCAGTGAGCTCACGCGTTGCTGCAGTGAGCTCACGCCTTGCTGCAGTGAGCTCACGCGTTGCTGCAGTGAGCTCACGCCTTGCTGCAGTGAGCTCACGCCTTGCTGCAGTGAGCTCACGCCTTGCTGCAGTGAGCTCACGCCTTGCTGCAGTGAGCTCACGCGTTGCTGCAGTGAGCTCACGCCTTGCTGCAGTGAGCTCACGCCTTGCTGCAGTGAGCTCACGCCTTGCTGCAGTGAGCTCACGCCTTGCTGCAGTGAGCTCACGCCTTGCTGCAGTGAGCTCACGCCTTGCTGCAGTGAGCTCACGCGTTGCTGCAGTGAGCTCACGCCTTGCTGCAGTGAGCTCACGCGTTGCTGCAGTGAGCTCACGCCTTGCTGCAGTGAGCTCACGCGTTGCTGCAGTGAGCTCACGCGTTGCTGCAGTGAGCTCACGCGTTGCTGCAGTGAGCTCACGCCTTGCTGCAGTGAGCTCACGCCTTGCTGCAGTGAGCTCACGCCTTGCTGCAGTGAGCTCACGCGTTGCTGCAGTGAGCTCACGCCTTGCTGCAGTGAGCTCACGCGTTGCTGCAGTGAGCTCACGCGTTGCTGCAGTGAGCTCACGCGTTGCTGCAGTGAGCTCACGCGTTGCTGCAGTGAGCTCACGCGTTGCTGCAGTGAGCTCACGCCTTGCTGCAGTGAGCTCACGCCTTGCTGCAGTGAGCTCACGCGTTGCTGCAGTGAGCTCACGCCTTGCTGCAGTGAGCTCACGCGTTGCTGCAGTGAGCTCACGCCTTGCTGCAGTGAGCTCACGCCTTGCTGCAGTGAGCTCACGCGTTGCTGCAGTGAGCTCACGCCTTGCTGCAGTGAGCTCACGCCTTGCTGCAGTGAGCTCACGCCTTGCTGCAGTGAGCTCACGCGTTGCTGCAGTGAGCTCACGCGTTGCTGCAGTGAGCTCACGCGTTGCTGCAGTGAGCTCACGCCTTGCTGCAGTGAGCTCACGCGTTGCTGCAGTGAGCTCACGCCTTGCTGCAGTGAGCTCATGCGTTGCTGCAGTGAGCTCACGCGTTGCTGCAGTGAGCTCACGCCTTGCTGCAGTGAGCTCACGCCTTGCTGCAGTGAGCTCACGCCTTGCTGCAGTGAGCTCACGCGTTGCTGCAGTGAGCTCACGCCTTGCTGCAGTGAGCTCACGCGTTGCTGCAGTGAGCTCACGCGTTGCTGCAGTGAGCTCACGCCTTGCTGCAGTGAGCTCACGCCTTGCTGCAGTGAGCTCACGCGTTGCTGCAGTGAGCTCACGCATTGCTGCAGTGAGCTCACGCCTTGCTGCAGTGAGCTCACGCCTTGCTGCAGTGAGCTCACGCCTTGCTGCAGTGAGCTCACGCCTTGCTGCAGTGAGCTCACGCGTTGCTGCAGTGAGCTCACGCGTTGCTGCAGTGAGCTCACGCGTTGCTGCAGTGAGCTCACGCGTTGCTGCAGTGAGCTCACGCCTTGCTGCAGTGAGCTCACGCGTTGCTGCAGTGAGCTCACGCCTTGCTGCAGTGAGCTCACGCGTTGCTGCAGTGAGCTCACGCCTTGCTGCAGTGAGCTCACGCCTTGCTGCAGTGAGCTCACGCGTTGCTGCAGTGAGCTCACGCCTTGCTGCAGTGAGCTCACGCCTTGCTGCAGTGAGCTCACGCATTGCTGCAGTGAGCTCACGCCTTGCTGCAGTGAGCTCACGCCTTGCTGCAGTGAGCTCACGCCTTGCTGCAGTGAGCTCACGCGTTGCTGCAGTGAGCTCACGCCTTGCTGCAGTGAGCTCACGCCTTGCTGCAGTGAGCTCACGCCTTGCTGCAGTGAGCTCACGCCTTGCTGCAGTGAGCTCACGCGTTGCTGCAGTGAGCTCACGCGTTGCTGCAGTGAGCTCACGCCTTGCTGCAGTGAGCTCACGCCTTGCTGCAGTGAGCTCACGCCTTGCTGCAGTGAGCTCACGCCTTGCTGCAGTGAGCTCACGCGTTGCTGCAGTGAGCTCACGCCTTGCTGCAGTGAGCTCACGCGTTGCTGCAGTGAGCTCACGCCTTGCTGCAGTGAGCTCACGCCTTGCTGCAGTGAGCTCACGCCTTGCTGCAGTGAGCTCACGCCTTGCTGCAGTGAGCTCACGCGTTGCTGCAGTGAGCTCACGCCTTGCTGCAGTGAGCTCATGCGTTGCTGCAGTGAGCTCACGCCTTGCTGCAGTGAGCTCACGCCTTGCTGCAGTGAGCTCACGCGTTGCTGCAGTGAGCTCACGCCTTGCTGCAGTGAGCTCACGCGTTGCTGCAGTGAGCTCACGCGTTGCTGCAGTGAGCTCACGCGTTGCTGCAGTGAGCTCACGCGTTGCTGCAGTGAGCTCACGCGTTGCTGCAGTGAGCTCACGCGTTGCTGCAGTGAGCTCACGCCTTGCTGCAGTGAGCTCACGCGTTGCTGCAGTGAGCTCACGCGTTGCTGCAGTGAGCTCACGCGTTGCTGCAGTGAGCTCACTTGTTGCTGCAGTGAGCTCACGCGTTGCTGCAGTGAGCTCACGCCTTGCTGCAGTGAGCTCACGCCTTGCTGCAGTGAGCTCACGCCTTGCTGCAGTGAGCTCACGCGTTGCTGCAGTGAGCTCACGCCTTGCTGCAGTGAGCTCACGCCTTGCTGCAGTGAGCTCACGCGTTGCTGCAGTGAGCTCACGCGTTGCTGCAGTGAGCTCACGCGTTGCTGCAGTGAGCTCACGCGTTGCTGCAGTGAGCTCACGCCTTGCTGCAGTGAGCTCACGCGTTGCTGCAGTGAGCTCACGCGTTGCTGCAGTGAGCTCACGCCTTGCTGCAGTGAGCTCACGCCTTGCTGCAGTGAGCTCACGCGTTGCTGCAGTGAGCTCACGCGTTGCTGCAGTGAGCTCACGCGTTGCTGCAGTGAGCTCACGCCTTGCTGCAGTGAGCTCACGCCTTGCTGCAGTGAGCTCACGCGTTGCTGCAGTGAGCTCACGCCTTGCTGCAGTGAGCTCACGCCTTGCTGCAGTGAGCTCACGCCTTGCTGCAGTGAGCTCACGCCTTGCTGCAGTGAGCTCACGCCTTGCTGCAGTGAGCTCACGCCTTGCTGCAGTGAGCTCACGCGTTGCTGCAGTGAGCTCACGCCTTGCTGCAGTGAGCTCACGCCTTGCTGCAGTGAGCTCACGCGTTGCTGCAGTGAGCTCACGCCTTGCTGCAGTGAGCTCACGCCTTGCTGCAGTGAGCTCACGCCTTGCTGCAGTGAGCTCACGCCTTGCTGCAGTGAGCTCACGCCTTGCTGCAGTGAGCTCACGCGTTGCTGCAGTGAGCTCACGCGTTGCTGCAGTGAGCTCACGCCTTGCTGCAGTGAGCTCACGCGTTGCTGCAGTGAGCTCACGCCTTGCTGCAGTGAGCTCACGCCTTGCTGCAGTGAGCTCACGCCTTGCTGCAGTGAGCTCACGCCTTGCTGCAGTGAGCTCACGCGTTGCTGCAGTGAGCTCACGCGTTGCTGCAGTGAGCTCACGCCTTGCTGCAGTGAGCTCACGCGTTGCTGCAGTGAGCTCACGCGTTGCTGCAGTGAGCTCACGCGTTGCTGCAGTGAGCTCACGCGTTGCTGCAGTGAGCTCACGCGTTGCTGCAGTGAGCTCACGCCTTGCTGCAGTGAGCTCACGCCTTGCTGCAGTGAGCTCACGCCTTGCTGCAGTGAGCTCACGCCTTGCTGCAGTGAGCTCACGCGTTGCTGCAGTGAGCTCACGCGTTGCTGCAGTGAGCTCACGCCTTGCTGCAGTGAGCTCACGCGTTGCTGCAGTGAGCTCACGCCTTGCTGCAGTGAGCTCACGCGTTGCTGCAGTGAGCTCACGCCTTGCTGCAGTGAGCTCACGCGTTGCTGCAGTGAGCTCACGCCTTGCTGCAGTGAGCTCACGCGTTGCTGCAGTGAGCTCACGCCTTGCTGCAGTGAGCTCACGCCTTGCTGCAGTGAGCTCACGCCTTGCTGCAGTGAGCTCACGCGTTGCTGCAGTGAGCTCACGCCTTGCTGCAGTGAGCTCACGCGTTGCTGCAGTGAGCTCACGCCTTGCTGCAGTGAGCTCACGCCTTGCTGCAGTGAGCTCACGCCTTGCTGCAGTGAGCTCACGCCTTGCTGCAGTGAGCTCACGCCTTGCTGCAGTGAGCTCACGCCTTGCTGCAGTGAGCTCACGCCTTGCTGCAGTGAGCTCACGCCTTGCTGCAGTGAGCTCACGCCTTGCTGCAGTGAGCTCACGCCTTGCTGCAGTGAGCTCACGCCTTGCTGCAGTGAGCTCACGCCTTGCTGCAGTGAGCTCACGCCTTGCTGCAGTGAGCTCACGCCTTGCTGCAGTGAGCTCACGCGTTGCTGCAGTGAGCTCACGCGTTGCTGCAGTGAGCTCACGCGTTGCTGCAGTGAGCTCACGCCTTGCTGCAGTGAGCTCACGCGTTGCTGCAGTGAGCTCACGCGTTGCTGCAGTGAGCTCACGCCTTGCTGCAGTGAGCTCACGCGTTGCTGCAGTGAGCTCACGCTTGCTTGCAGTGAGCTCACGCCTTGCTGCAGTGAGCTCACGCGTTGCTGCAGTGAGCTCACGCGTTGCTGCAGTGAGCTCACGCCTTGCTGCAGTGAGCTCACGCCTTGCTGCAGTGAGCTCACGCGTTGCTGCAGTGAGCTCACGCCTTGCTGCAGTGAGCTCACGCGTTGCTGCAGTGAGCTCACGCGTTGCTGCAGTGAGCTCACGCGTTGCTGCAGTGAGCTCACGCGTTGCTGCAGTGAGCTCACGCGTTGCTGCAGTGAGCTCACGCGTTGCTGCAGTGAGCTCACGCGTTGCTGCAGTGAGCTCACGCGTTTGCTCACGCCTTGCTGCAGTGAGCTCACGCCTTGCTGCAGTGAGCTCACGCCTTGCTGCAGTGAGCTCACGCCTTGCTGCAGTGAGCTCACGCCTTGCTGCAGTGAGCTCACGCCTTGCTGCAGTGAGCTCACGCCTTGCTGCAGTGAGCTCACGCGTTGCTGCAGTGAGCTCACGCGTTGCTGCAGTGAGCTCACGCGTTGCTGCAGTGAGCTCACGCCTTGCTGCAGTGAGCTCACGCGTTGCTGCAGTGAGCTCACGCCTTGCTGCAGTGAGCTCACGCGTTGCTGCAGTGAGCTCACGCCTTGCTGCAGTGAGCTCACGCCTTGCTGCAGTGAGCTCACGCCTTGCTGCAGTGAGCTCACGCGTTGCTGCAGTGAGCTCACGCCTTGCTGCAGTGAGCTCACGCGTTGCTGCAGTGAGCTCACGCCTTGCTGCAGTGAGCTCACGCCTTGCTGCAGTGAGCTCACGCCTTGCTGCAGTGAGCTCACGCGTTGCTGCAGTGAGCTCACGCCTTGCTGCAGTGAGCTCACGCCTTGCTGCAGTGAGCTCACGCGTTGCTGCAGTGAGCTCACGCCTGCTGCAGTGAGCTCACGCCTGCTGCAGTGAGCTCACGCTTGCGCCATGCTGCAGTGAGCTCACGCCTTGCTGCAGTGAGCTCACGCCTTGCTGCAGTGAGCTCACGCGTTGCTGCAGTGAGCTCACGCCTTGCTGCAGTGAGCTCACGCGTTGCTGCAGTGAGCTCACGCGTTGCTGCAGTGAGCTCACGCCTTGCTGCAGTGAGCTCACGCCTTGCTGCAGTGAGCTCACGCGTTGCTGCAGTGAGCTCACGCCTTGCTGCAGTGAGCTCACGCCTTGCTGCAGTGAGCTCACGCCTTGCTGCAGTGAGCTCACGCGTTGCTGCAGTGAGCTCACGCCTTGCTGCAGTGAGCTCACGCGTTGCTGCAGTGAGCTCACGCGTTGCTGCAGTGAGCTCACGCCTTGCTGCAGTGAGCTCACGCCTTGCTGCAGTGAGCTCACGCGTTGCTGCAGTGAGCTCACGCCTTGCTGCAGTGAGCTCACGCGTTGCTGCAGTGAGCTCACGCCTTGCTGCAGTGAGCTCACGCGTTGCTGCAGTGAGCTCACGCCTTGCTGCAGTGAGCTCACGCGTTGCTGCAGTGAGCTCACGCGTTGCTGCAGTGAGCTCACGCGTTGCTGCAGTGAGCTCACGCCTTGCTGCAGTGAGCTCACGCGTTGCTGCAGTGAGCTCACGCCTTGCTGCAGTGAGCTCACGCCTTGCTGCAGTGAGCTCACGCCTTGCTGCAGTGAGCTCACGCCTTGCTGCAGTGAGCTCACGCGTTGCTGCAGTGAGCTCACGCCTTGCTGCAGTGAGCTCACGCGTTGCTGCAGTGAGCTCACGCGTTGCTGCAGTGAGCTCACGCGTTGCTGCAGTGAGCTCACGCCTTGCTGCAGTGAGCTCACGCCTTGCTGCAGTGAGCTCACGCCTTGCTGCAGTGAGCTCACGCGTTGCTGCAGTGAGCTCACGCGTTGCTGCAGTGAGCTCACGCGTTGCTGCAGTGAGCTCACGCGTTGCTGCAGTGAGCTCCACTGCAGTGAGCTCACGCCTTGCTGCAGTGAGCTCACGCGTTGCTGCAGTGAGCTCACGCCTTGCTGCAGTGAGCTCACGCGTTGCTGCAGTGAGCTCACGCCTTGCTGCAGTGAGCTCACGCGTTGCTGCAGTGAGCTCACGCGTTGCTGCAGTGAGCTCACGCCTTGCTGCAGTGAGCTCACGCGTTGCTGCAGTGAGCTCACGCCTTGCTGCAGTGAGCTCACGCCTTGCTGCAGTGAGCTCACGCCTTGCTGCAGTGAGCTCACTTGTTGCTGCAGTGAGCTCACGCGTTGCTGCAGTGAGCTCACGCCTTGCTGCAGTGAGCTCACGCGTTGCTGCAGTGAGCTCACGCCTTGCTGCAGTGAGCTCACGCCTTGCTGCAGTGAGCTCACGCCTTGCTGCAGTGAGCTCACGCCTTGCTGCAGTGAGCTCACGCGTTGCTGCAGTGAGCTCACGCCTTGCTGCAGTGAGCTCACGCGTTGCTGCAGTGAGCTCACGCCTTGCTGCAGTGAGCTCACGCGTTGCTGCAGTGAGCTCACGCGTTGCTGCAGTGAGCTCACGCGTTGCTGCAGTGAGCTCACGCCTTGCTGCAGTGAGCTCACGCCTTGCTGCAGTGAGCTCACGCCTTGCTGCAGTGAGCTCACGCGTTGCTGCAGTGAGCTCACGCCTTGCTGCAGTGAGCTCACGCGTTGCTGCAGTGAGCTCACGCGTTGCTGCAGTGAGCTCACACGTTGCTGCAGTGAGCTCACGCGTTGCTGCAGTGAGCTCACGCGTTGCTGCAGTGAGCTCACGCCTTGCTGCAGTGAGCTCACGCGTTGCTGCAGTGAGCTCACGCGTTGCTGCAGTGAGCTCACGCCTTGCTGCAGTGAGCTCACGCGTTGCTGCAGTGAGCTCACGCCTTGCTGCAGTGAGCTCACGCCTTGCTGCAGTGAGCTCACGCCTTGCTGCAGTGAGCTCACGCGTTGCTGCAGTGAGCTCACGCCTTGCTGCAGTGAGCTCACGCCTTGCTGCAGTGAGCTCACGCGTTGCTGCAGTGAGCTCACGCGTTGCTGCAGTGAGCTCACGCCTTGCTGCAGTGAGCTCACGCCTTGCTGCAGTGAGCTCACGCGTTGCTGCAGTGAGCTCACGCCTTGCTGCAGTGAGCTCACGCGTTGCTGCAGTGAGCTCACGCCTTGCTGCAGTGAGCTCACGCCTTGCTGCAGTGAGCTCACGCCTTGCTGCAGTGAGCTCACGCGTTGCTGCAGTGAGCTCACGCCTTGCTGCAGTGAGCTCACGCGTTGCTGCAGTGAGCTCACGCCTTGCTGCAGTGAGCTCACGCGTTGCTGCAGTGAGCTCACGCCTTGCTGCAGTGAGCTCACGCGTTGCTGCAGTGAGCTCACGCCTTGCTGCAGTGAGCTCACGCGTTGCTGCAGTGAGCTCACGCGTTGCTGCAGTGAGCTCACGCCTTGCTGCAGTGAGCTCACGCCTTGCTGCAGTGAGCTCACGCCTTGCTGCAGTGAGCTCACGCGTTGCTGCAGTGAGCTCACGCGTTGCTGCAGTGAGCTCACGCGTTGCTGCAGTGAGCTCACGCGTTGCTGCAGTGAGCTCACTGCAGTGAGCTCACGCCTTGCTGCAGTGAGCTCACGCCTTGCTGCAGTGAGCTCACGCGTTGCTGCAGTGAGCTCACGCCTTGCTGCAGTGAGCTCACGCCTTGCTGCAGTGAGCTCACGCCTTGCTGCAGTGAGCTCACGCGTTGCTGCAGTGAGCTCACGCCTTGCTGCAGTGAGCTCACGCGTTGCTGCAGTGAGCTCACGCCTTGCTGCAGTGAGCTCACGCCTTGCTGCAGTGAGCTCACGCCTTGCTGCAGTGAGCTCACGCCTTGCTGCAGTGAGCTCACGCGTTGCTGCAGTGAGCTCACGCCTTGCTGCAGTGAGCTCACGCCTTGCTGCAGTGAGCTCACGCCTTGCTGCAGTGAGCTCACGCCTTGCTGCAGTGAGCTCACGCCTTGCTGCAGTGAGCTCACGCCTTGCTGCAGTGAGCTCACGCGTTGCTGCAGTGAGCTCACGCGTTGCTGCAGTGAGCTCACGCGTTGCTGCAGTGAGCTCACGCCTTGCTGCAGTGAGCTCACGCGTTGCTGCAGTGAGCTCACACGTTGCTGCAGTGAGCTCACGCGTTGCTGCAGTGAGCTCACGCCTTGCTGCAGTGAGCTCACGCCTTGCTGCAGTGAGCTCACGCCTTGCTGCAGTGAGCTCACGCCTTGCTGCAGTGAGCTCACGCCTTGCTGCAGTGAGCTCACGCGTTGCTGCAGTGAGCTCACGCGTTGCTGCAGTGAGCTCACGCGTTGCTGCAGTGAGCTCACGCGTTGCTGCAGTGAGCTCACGCGTTGCTGCAGTGAGCTCACGCCTTGCTGCAGTGAGCTCACGCCTTGCTGCAGTGAGCTCACGCGTTGCTGCAGTGAGCTCACGCCTTGCTGCAGTGAGCTCACGCCTTGCTGCAGTGAGCTCACGCCTTGCTGCAGTGAGCTCACGCCTTGCTGCAGTGAGCTCACGCGTTGCTGCAGTGAGCTCACGCCTTGCTGCAGTGAGCTCACGCCTTGCTGCAGTGAGCTCACGCCTTGCTGCAGTGAGCTCACGCGTTGCTGCAGTGAGCTCACGCCTTGCTGCAGTGAGCTCACGCGTTGCTGCAGTGAGCTCACGCCTTGCTGCAGTGAGCTCACGCCTTGCTGCAGTGAGCTCACGCCTTGCTGCAGTGAGCTCACGCGTTGCTGCAGTGAGCTCACGCCTTGCTGCAGTGAGCTCACGCCTTGCTGCAGTGAGCTCACGCCTTGCTGCAGTGAGCTCACGCCTTGCTGCAGTGAGCTCACGCGTTGCTGCAGTGAGCTCACGCCTTGCTGCAGTGAGCTCACGCGTTGCTGCAGTGAGCTCACGCGTTGCTGCAGTGAGCTCACGCCTTGCTGCAGTGAGCTCACGCCTTGCTGCAGTGAGCTCACGCGTTGCTGCAGTGAGCTCACGCGTTGCTGCAGTGAGCTCACGCCTTGCTGCAGTGAGCTCACGCCTTGCTGCAGTGAGCTCACGCCTTGCTGCAGTGAGCTCACGCCTTGCTGCAGTGAGCTCACGCGTTGCTGCAGTGAGCTCACGCGTTGCTGCAGTGAGCTCACGCGTTGCTGCAGTGAGCTCACGCGTTGCTGCAGTGAGCTCACGCCTTGCTGCAGTGAGCTCACGCGTTGCTGCAGTGAGCTCACGCCTTGCTGCAGTGAGCTCACGCGTTGCTGCAGTGAGCTCACGCCTTGCTGCAGTGAGCTCACGCGTTGCTGCAGTGAGCTCACGCCTTGCTGCAGTGAGCTCACGCCTTGCTGCAGTGAGCTCACGCGTTGCTGCAGTGAGCTCACGCCTTGCTGCAGTGAGCTCACGCCTTGCTGCAGTGAGCTCACGCCTTGCTGCAGTGAGCTCACGCCTTGCTGCAGTGAGCTCACGCGTTGCTGCAGTGAGCTCACGCGTTGCTGCAGTGAGCTCACGCCTTGCTGCAGTGAGCTCACGCCTTGCTGCAGTGAGCTCACGCCTTGCTGCAGTGAGCTCACGCGTTGCTGCAGTGAGCTCACGCGTTGCTGCAGTGAGCTCACGCCTTGCTGCAGTGAGCTCACGCCTTGCTGCAGTGAGCTCACGCCTTGCTGCAGTGAGCTCACGCCTTGCTGCAGTGAGCTCACGCCTTGCTGCAGTGAGCTCACGCCTTGCTGCAGTGAGCTCACGCGTTGCTGCAGTGAGCTCACGCCTTGCTGCAGTGAGCTCACGCCTTGCTGCAGTGAGCTCACGCCTTGCTGCAGTGAGCTCACGCCTTGCTGCAGTGAGCTCACGCGTTGCTGCAGTGAGCTCACGCCTTGCTGCAGTGAGCTCACGCGTTGCTGCAGTGAGCTCACGCCTTGCTGCAGTGAGCTCACGCCTTGCTGCAGTGAGCTCACGCGTTGCTGCAGTGAGC